AATAATGTTTTAGCAAGCAGGAGTTTAATGTTTAGATTATTAATTCGGTGCATTTCTGAGGATTTTTCAGGGAAGAACCGGTTATTTTTGGCCGATATCAATATCATGCGTTAATATTGTTGTTTTAGTTAAAGCTACAGTGTGTAACTTTTAGCGACATCTAGCGGTCAGACTGCAGACTGCAGCAACACGAACATCCCCCCCCCCACCGCTTCTCCCTTCCAACAGTACGGCTTTTCGCAGATATTTTTGATTTATGCCCAATATTGAAGTGATCTGCGCTATGTCATTCCACGCCACAACGCCAGAGGGACAATCAGGAACCTGCTGTGGGTCTAGATACGGCCGAGGCGGTGAGGAAGTGGGGGCAAGTTTTTGCGACAACGGAGGGACATGAGGGCCAAAAAAAGTGGGGATCCAGGTGGAAAAAGGGCACAGCATTCTCACGCATCTCGCTCTTCTAACTGGTCCGTCTTAACGATTAATTTTTCACAATGGCAGTCACACAAACAAAACAAGCCGGTAAGGAACCAAACAGGAAATACGCATAGTGTAGAGCGGATGTAGATTTGACCAATCAGAGGCCTCCTGTCTGCAGCACTGTCTGCCGTGCAGCAGAGTGTCTGCGGAAGGGAGTGGGGACGTCTCTGCGTTAACTACGACACAAGCAGAAGCTGATCAAATATCGGGTTAAATATCGGTGGGGTGGCCGATGTCCCATATTCAGTTTTAAGGCCGATACCAATAGGGGGCCGATTATATCGTGCATCCCTAGTTTAAAGTAACAGATTATAATTAAAAATGTCTCCAGACCTTTACTGGTTGATGATTTTTTTTCATTCAGACGCCGCTGATTTTTAATCGTTACTCCTGCCTTAGATAAACTAGTTATCTTCTAACGTGTTTGGACTAAAGGTTCAGAATCTACTGGGTTTCAATCTGATTTTTCTTCCTCAGTGAGACTCAGAGCTTTTTTCACCTCTAATGATGCAGATAATTTATTGTTCTAACTGGTTAAATCAATCTCAGTGAGGGGATTAAAGCTCCACATTTAGAGTTTTCCATTTTTTAGGCTGAATCTCTGAAGCAGAAACAGGATCTGATCTGGAGATTAAACCTGAGGTGGGAATAACTCCAGGTGGAAGAATCTGGGTAAAAAGCCGCTCTCTGTTTGGCTGACAGTGATGATCAGTTTGTTTCCAGCAAAACGAGGAGCTGCAGCTCATCTCTACAGCTCCCACGTCTCCACCTCGCTGCTCCCGTCTGACTCTGCTCCCCTCATTAGGAGGAGGCGAGGAGGCGACCTTGATCCCAGCCGGCTCAGATCTGGCTCCGGCTGCCGAGGTTCTGACTTTAACTGGAGTTGAGCTGCTTTGATCCTGCAGTTTGTCGACTTGGTCTTCCAACCTCTGCTGCTGCTGCTCGTTTCAAGACGGAGAAGTTTACTCACTCTAGCCTAGTTTTTAAGTTATTATTCTATATAAACTGTGAGAGAAACACTGGAAGAAGATGAGACGTGACAAACAAAGGTGCTTGTTTCTGCTCCAGTTGAGACTAATAAATCCCAGGTTGTTAGAAACATGTCAGCTCAGGTCACAGAGAGAAGTTTCCCTTTGATCCTGAATCTGCTCTCCATCTCATGTTCAGGAGGAAGATCTCGGTGAGGAAGCAGAGAAATTATTTAAAATTATGAAAGGATGAAGAAATGAGGTTCTGGTCTATTTTTTGAAAGAATGAAACAGAGGAGTTAACGTTCATCCATCTGAGTGATTATTGATCCGACTGAAGCTCTGTGATTCCTGATAATTGGCCTCCAGGGCGTTTAGCTCCAACTTTGCTGTGATTCATTAAAAGTTTGTCAACATTCATTTCTGCACAGGTTGCTTGGAATCTAAAACTGCATTTAAATTAGGTTAAAGGAAAAGTCCGGTCAGAAATGAATAATCAATGGATCATTATCTATATCTAAAACTAATACGTTTGCGGCGACTTAATGAATTTAAGATAATCAGTAAAAAAATAAAATAAAAACACTAATTTGTTGCCATCACTGAGTCTGGGAGCGGCCATTTTTGCCC